GGGGGGAGGACCAGGGAGGATGATTCAACCACTAGGTGTCGCTGAAAACAACAAATCCAACACATTGTGCCTTTAAAGGCCACCATGATGCTCCTGTTGCCCTCAGTGAAAATGAGTTTGACACCTCTGCTGTAGAGATATCTGTTAGCACTCAGCGTAGATGTTGAAAATGAGTCTCACTACCACCACGCTAAATATTAGGTCTATGTCTGTAAAATAGACTGAGATATAACCATTTTTGTTTTTGCTAATGTTGGGGAGCTGTGGCAGTTGTCTTGAATGAGGTTGATTCCATTGAGAGTTCCATTAAAATCCACCCAATGGTTCATGGGAAATTTTGCTAACAGACACTTTCTTCATGTAACTAAGGACCCTGTGTACATCCTCACAGCCCAACCTCGATCTTTGCCTTCAAGTTTTCTCCATCTGTAACTCTGTCTCACAAACACACAAACAAGTACACACACTCCCAGCAGAGGATGGAAAAGGAGTGAGTTGGATTAGTTTGTACACCAGTGAAAATTGGCCAAACACTCCCAATTACGGGATAACTTGAACTAACCTAATACACCACCGCAATTACCTGGCATCCGCTCCCTCACACAAACACACATACACACGCTCACAGGCACTGATGAACAAACACAGGCACACACAAGCGCACACCTACTGTGACAACAGAAGGTGCTGATCTAATACTGTTGGTCACTTAGAGCAGGAGGAAGAGCGATTGGTCCTCCTCTGTCTTCCAATCCTTTTGCCCTGTTCGCTCTGCCATTTGTCTGCTGTCATTTGCCCTGTGTTAACGTCACAGTTCCCAGTTTCTCTCAGCAGTTATCTCTTTACTTTTTGAACCTCTTTCATCTCGACTCCTGTTCCCTGGCCAACCACCAGCTTTACTTTTAAAACTGTCATGTTGTCTGTCTTCTCTGGTTCTCACAATCCCTTTATCCTTAAGCTTTCTTAATTTCTGTTCCTTTGTGTATACCAAAAAGAAATGATGAAATATTTATATTTTACTGTCATATTTACCTGAAGACAGTAAAGTAGATATGCATATTATGTTAACACTTTCTGAAAAATGTTATATGGGTCAGTCATTTCAAAATCAAACATCCCTGTATAATAAAGTACTTAATTTAATTTTTGTTGCAAAAAGACCTGGAGCAACATTTTGCAACTTGCACAAAGTCTATCAAATTATGCAAGTTGTGAAGCATCACTTGTAGCCAGCTAGATTATTTATCCTCAAAAGACTGTTTTAGCAGCTTAATGCCACGTTGCACATATTACCACAGCATGGCTTTAACATTAAAAATGATTCAGGTGCTAAAATGGACTATCTGCAGATTAAACCTGTCACCTATTAAAACACATTTGGTGCATTTTGAAACAAGCTGCATGACAAAGGAGACCCTGGACTGTAGAGCTGCTGAAATGAAAGGAGTTGCCAAAATGGAGAAGAAAAAACAACTTTTCCTTCAAA